AGACTGCCGCATCAGTTGGCCTGGGCTGATCGATTTTTTTCTTCCTTCTCTGCCTTGGCGTACTGGCCGTCGCCTGTGAATGTTAGTGGCCTCCTGTAATACGTGTCGTCACCTCAATTGGGGTTGGTTGCGTTTGCTTTCCCCTTTTGGGTGAAGTGGTCGACAGGCCGTGTTTGCTCGGCATTCTTAGGCTCCGTGTGATTGTCTTGCCTTCGTCACGGTGTATGAAGTGACGTAGGACTTTATAGGCCGACGGAAGGTCTAGATGCCTGTTGATGGAGTTGGCATCTGAGTACCAAGCCTCAAGAGTGAGACGCTCAGTCCTTGAGGTGCCCCTGCCTATGACGGCTGCTCCTTGAAAATCAAAACTGTGACCAGTTTCCCCGATGTGAGCCGTAAGTTGTGAGTTTGGGCCTAGTCTCCGTGTTGCCAATTTGTGCTCATGTAGGCGGGTCTGCAATTTCCGTCCGGTTTCCCCAACGTAGTTGCAGTCTCCATCCTTACAACGTATTTGATAGACAACTGCTGAGGTTTCAGTGGGTGGCAGTATGTCTTTGGGTTGCATCAAACGGCGACGAATTGTTGCCTGGGGTCGATGGGCAATACCTACCCTGGTGGGTTGTGGCAGTCTTGAAACCGCTTCGGAGACTCCTTTAATGTAAGGAATAGCCCTCCAGACTTCGGGTTGTTCTTCTTGTGGTCGTCGTCTGTTCACTCGGCGCTTGCTTTGCTTGATGAAGTGGCTTGGGTATCCATTGGTTTGAAAGAGATCATGAAGATATTGTCGTTCAACACTTTTGTCGGCTGGTGTGCTGCAGTGTGTTTCAACTCTTTGGAACAGAGTACGGACACAGCTGCGTTTGTGAGAGAGGGGGTGATTGCTGTTGAAGTGCAGTATTTGTCTTGTGTTGGTGGCTTTTATAAAAACGGAAGTTTGTAATTCTCCAGTTGCACACCGACGCACAAGGACATCGAGGAAGGGAAGTTGGTTGTTTGTTTCGGCTTCCATCGTGAATTGGATATTCTGGTCAACCGAGTTCAGTAATTCTTTAAGGTGCTCCACGTCAGATGATTTGACAATGGCGAAGGTGTCATCGACGTAAGGAGTCCAGAACTTTGGTTGATACTTGGTGAACACCAAGTCTTCTATCCGTTGAAGAACCACTTCAGCAATCAGCCCTGATATGGGGGGCCCATAGGGGTGCCTTTGATTTGTTCATACATTTTTCCACCAAAGGTGAAATATGTTTTTAGGCAATAGCGTAAGAGCTCCACGAGATGTTCAGTCTTCAGGGGATTGTCTCTCTCGTTGTAGCGGTCAGCCAGGAGTTGTCTCACAACGTCAACCTCTAGTTGTTGTGGAATGGAGGTAAAGAGTGAAACGACATCAAACGATACCATGGATTCATCTGGCTCTAATTTCAGATGTTTTAAACGTTCAAGGAACTGATTAGCAGAGGCCACTGTTGTTGGCGATCCTTCTGCCAGGAACTTAAGACGAGCACTTCACCCAAAAGGGGAAAGCAAACGCAACCAACCCCAATTGAGGTGACGACACGTATTACAGGAGGCCACCAACATTCACAGGCGACGGCCAGTAGGCCGAGGCAGAGAAGGAAGAAAAAATCGATCAGCTCAGGGCCAACTAATGCGGCAGTCTATTCAAAAATGCTGATCGGTTTTTTCACTTGACGCTTTGACAATGGAGAGCAGCCCCAGCTCTTCGAAACGTCAGCCAAAAAAGTCCCCCGATCCGGTGAGCAATTCATTCTCCTCAGATTACCGACCCGGATCTCTTACTTTTGCTAACCTAACATCTTTATGTCAGTTTGGTTTATTTCTCAAGAAATAAGGTGCCTCCGAACAGCACAGGGTTTCATCAGTGCAAGCGCCACCACTGACATGAAAAGTCGACTTTGTGTCAACGGAATATGCGTCGTCGAGGGAGTTGTTGGTGTCGGATAAGCGACAGGCTTTGCGTTCTGACTTGAAAATTCATCTGGATGCTTCTGGCAGTCAGGCGCTTTTGTGCTTGACCACTTTACGCACACCTTCACTTTACTTTTCAGTTTGGACCATATTCATAGATTTAGGTGGATGTTCTCACAGTTGCATTCAGTCTCGTACCCGTTGTGCGGAACGAGGTGTTAATATCAGCATTCGATATTCAGGTAGCAAATACTGCCAGTATTCTTAGAAGGAGGACGATGAGATGCCTGTACTATTCATTTTTAGCCAAGTTACGACCTGCCGATCTCATGAGCCCATAGCTGGTAGCACACGAAATTCAAAGGTGTATACTGCTGACCATATTTTAGTAGAAATGTCGTTTACGCTATTTGAACTGGTAAATTTTGACTCAACCGAAAACTGACGAAGTGCATAAAAGTAAACATCAAGGGTTTATGTCGTAAAATGAGTATTTTGTCAAAAATTGAACAGGCAGCGATGACCTAAGTATACTGGGCTCCATTTAAAAATCCCTCTAATATTTCAAGACACGGTTTATCCTCATAACAGAGAACGTTTTCGAACTAACCGAAATGTCTTTTGTAGGCACTACGACGGCGGTTGCATGTTTCCCCATGTAATGGCATCAGAGCCTGGTTTTTTGTTAGGTTTTTCCTACTTACACAAGAGTGAGACTCATAACAAGTTGAAACGCTTTCAGAAAAATAAAGCTTTACTTCAAACTCCTAGGGCTTACAATATTCAAACGCTATGGGTAACAGATTGGCGTCGTTGCTGTGAACGGCGAGAATATTGACAGATAACAGTATTGGTGCTAGATATGTCTTCAGAACAACGAAATTAAGCAGGGCCAAAAAGGGCATTGTGGAAATGGTGTGGATGCCTGTAACAGTTGACACTATGAAAACTGCATACATTAACCGAGTGAGCAAGCATGGATTAAACATACGCTGATACGTGTACTTTTATGAGTAGGGTAAGACATCTGAGCATCGGAGAGGACTGTTGCTTACCAACTCTGTGGTACTACCTCTTTTGTATTTTTGGCGAGGTTTAATGAAGTTACTTTAGAATCCAAGTACAAGGCTTGGGCATCCTGAGACGGTTTATGGTCTCCATACAGTTAGCAGAGGCAACAAAATCCATTAGCTGGACTCCAGACTTCTAGAACTTTTCGACAGCAGAAATTAGACAAGGGCTCCAAATTGAGAGACGCTGATCGAATTGTAGTCGAAAACATTTACGGTGTCACATAAGTTTTATCCGAGGTGGGTTTCAAATCGTCTCCGGTTCCTGCAGAGTTTATTGTCCGAGTGAGAAGCGATCTTTCCAATTCTAAAAAGGTCATGTGAGATGGTCGTTCCCGATGCATGCGACAAGGGAAACTGTATCACCTACTTAGTATCGTACGTACGCAAATGTCCAAACTTTAGTCTAATTATCGTTTATGAATTGCGACTTTTTCCCAAAGCATCTAATCATGAAAGAAAAGTTACGCTTCTTTTACCGGATCCTCTTGAGCAAATCAAGACTATTCGTGTTCTCTTCTGAATTTTACAATCGTTGTAGTGAGGGACGATGTGGAGTATGAGGTGTGGCTAATGAAAACACATGATATCTAGTTTGTTCTGCTGCCTTCTAACTGATAATCATTAGATGTTTCCACAAAAAGTTCCTAATTTACTATGAAAGAACCACAGTAAAATCAAGACAGACATAATAAACTCTTGTCACGGTCGTGGGACGTTCTGCTTCCGCTTCTTGATTATAACCAGGTAGGTAAGTCTTAGAGACTGGTCTACCTTTTATGACGGCGTTACTATACTGATATGTAAGGATTATACCTGAGTCAAGGAAGAGACATGCCGACGCGGCGGATGTTTTATATGATTAGTCGTACAATGATCTGGCCTACACTCAGCTGACACCCTCCAAAATAAAGGATAAACAATAATTGATCGTGGAGAACCGGGACCAACTTTGGTCCCTAAGGGAAGACATCACTGAACATGTAAAATGCAGAGTAAGATTGACAATAAACCTTTAAGCACATTCTCCGTAGGGTCACGGAGAGCTCTGCGAAATTCGATCAAAAAAAGCCTTGAAGCAGAACATGACCGCCTTTGAAATTGCAAATGAAGTAAATGCACGAAGTCATTCGTTCAGTGATATAATACAATGCGAGTTGACAAGCGTTAACTGCCGGTTTGCTACAACTTACACATAGCTGACTGAAGCCCGCGACTCTCTGGAATCCGTTTGAGATCCGGGATGCAAAATGTGTCCTTGATTTAGGTTAACCTAATAAAAGGCGGTTAGGATTATATCTCTGGGGACTAGGGAATTATTTCTTTGTCATATATGAAAGGCTACTTCGCCCCCTTGTTTTGAGTACGGCTGGCGTTTCCAGAACCTGCGGTAGCTGCTTTAATTACGATTGCAAAGTAGCTAACCGCAGAAGAGCATGTCTCTTGGGAATCTGTCAAAACCAGTATTTTTAAGAACGCCGTTGCCGAGGGTACATTTAAGGTCCTGGTGAGAATAGCAATGAATGCGATTTTCAATTTTTTGTTCCTCGTCGTGCCGCTGTGTCATTCATCTTACTAATAACCAATCTTTATTCGTCTCAGCAACTTCGGCGCAAATAAGTTAACTTTCTATAAAAAAATCCGTTTGGATTTCCTACAAAAAGGTCAATAAATACCAAAGCATCTAAAAATATTTTCGTGTTTCCGGAATTTCATACATAGTGTCATTAGTATAATGACTTCCTCGACCTCCCCCTCCCCCAAAGTACAAAAATAAAAGCAATTTAGTACAGCTATTTGTCTTTGTGATTTTCCATTGTTAGCTGCGAGTTCCTCGCCTGTCCACTTACTGCGCTACAGCCTAATTGGTCTACGCAGGATCAAAGGACAAATACACGCAGAGATATTTCATGGACAGATAGTTTGGTCGGCTTCCGGGCCGCAGAATTCCAGAAAGCATAAAAGCGCAAGTGCACAAGACACTCGGAAACAGAGAGAGAAATGTGTACTCAGACTCATCTGGTTATTTTGATTGCCTTCTTTTTTAGCGTTCAGATTTGGGCCCGAAGGTAGGTCGAAATATGACGAACTTCGGTGTAATCCTATGTCTCCTTGAAAACTAGACACTTTTCTTTATCGAGAAATAATATTAGCTTGTCTTCCCTTCGAAAATAACATTTGTCGTAAGAAAATCTGTCCACATATATAACGCTCTAAATAAATCTGCGAGAAGTGTTGCAGATTATTTTAAGGCTTAAAACATTTCGGTTCTTTTTATGAAAAACCGGTCTAAGAACACGTTTTTTCGTGAATTTGGTAAGCTGTGATTCTTTTACATCTGTATCGACAGACAAAGTAGGTTCTGCTTGATTGATTAATATTTGACATTTTTGCCAAACAGTGTACCGCATGAACCCGAAAGATGCACATCTGGCTCAATGACCTGCTTCCACGGAAGATGCGTTGAAACCGAGGAGATCATCGACGGCGAAGTAAAAGCGGTTGAAAAATGCGTCTGCTATCCACCTTATGAAGGACCTCACTGCACAGTGAAAGTTTTGATGAATATGTTTGATCAAGAAGTAATAAGCGGCGGACCCATCTTTGATGAACCTGTGGAGCTCTTCCGAAGACGACGATTCGTTTGATTATATGATATGATTGCAGAAGATCTTTAAAATAAAAGTGTTTCCCCTTACATGCCGACCAATTTCCATGCATTGCAGAATTCCTTCCATTTAAGACCGGGAGTAGAAGTTGTTCATTAGGAATAACTAAAATGTTATATGACTATCATCTTTACAGCCAATCTTTTAACATTCAGTCATGAACTCCCCACAGCTTGCAAAACACTAACACCTGCCCTTATATGACTTTGGCCTATGAAAGGACAGCAACGTTAAGCCTGTCTTACGTAGCACGTGAGAAAAGGGCCTAGAAATTTTAGTGACGGAATAGGAAGGGGAAATTTATATTTGCAGTAGTCAAAAGCTTTCAGCTAAAAGTGTTTCAAGCAAAGTAACCAAATATACACGGAAACAATCGTCACAATGTGTGTGTGTGAGAGAGAAATATCATAATCCTCATAGCTGTTAGACTAGCAATCAGGGTCCCGTCTGCCGTATTTTCATCTTTTGATCTGTCAGTAATCGTCCCAACGATAGTAGAGATAACTGTTACTAAACTCATATAAGACAATAAATGTGATTAAAACCACAGTAGCTCGAATGGAATGAATCCATATCATTTAAATCTGAATAAATGATGACCTTATTTTAGAGAATTCGATCGTCTAGGCATCTAACAGTCTTAAAATGCCGTCTTATTATGGTTTGAAGTAGAACGAAGCAGGAAGCGCCAATGTTGGGGTAAAGTGTACATGGGATAGGTCCTGGAATGGAAAAGTACCTTTCGAGAAAAAAAAGTTGATGGAACGCTGGTAAACAATAAGATGGTGAATACGTGTTCCGATCATCTGTATTTCTTTTCCTTACTGTCGATTTTGCTTTCACTTCCCGAGTGTCCGGCCTTATCAGGAGAAGAAGGTCCAGACGACAGCAAAGACTTCTATGAGTGTTTTGCCTCCGAAACGAGATTGGAGCTGCTGAAAACACATGTTTACCAAGAGACGTTTGTCACCCTGACCGTTTTAGTATCAAACATATTTTCAGCTCCATCCTCTGCCAGCCATTTATGTTCGTAGTTAATGGATTAAATAAAATCCCGCTTACGTTGCTCGGCTCCAGCGAAGGAAAATGTTCAGCATGTTGCTCGGCAATATTTCCCAGTTTTGCCTGAATTTCTTGCCTTATTTTTTGCGTGAATTTTTCTGTACACATAGGAAGAAGGTACTTGCGAAGTTTTCGGTTTATTGGCCCACAGCTACTATAACTGTTAATTTTGCTGTGATCGTAGTAGTGTTCTTTCTACATCATGCGGGTCCAAACTTTAACTTTTCCCAAGGTTCACTGATAAAACTCTCATCAAACTACTGCGTGAGGACATTAAGAAAACTATAGTTGAGTTTCACAACACCTAGAGGAAAAAAGGCATTGCGTTATGGAACAAAAACATTTGTAGGCACTTTTCTTTTTGACAGTCACCAAACATCCCTATAACTGTGGAACAAGTTGGAAAAACGCCTGAGTAACAGGTAAGACGGACGAATTTGATGGTGTCGTTCTTCCTTTTATCAAGTGTTTGGTCGGACCCATGATACTAGGTCTGCACAAAAACCCGCTGTGTACAATTTTACCATGTGCATTAGGGCTGAAGCCGTTCGTCTTGATTATTATGCGCCGTGGGCGGGCTGCTAAATCACAGAAGATCAGGCAATTGTCTTTTGACGCTGAAGCCTGCTGTTTTCTCAACTGGAAGTGCTCATACCTTCTGGATAAAATCATCTGCAATTATAGACCGGTCTTAAAACTGACTATCAATGTTTTGCAGCAAATTTTGCGTGTGTTTTCTAAATGTGAGACGGTCTGGGTGGCCGTCGGAGGGACCATTTTGCCAGTCAATTCTTTCTGGAAGGGATTGCAAGATTTGACGTCCGATGTGTACACCACCAAGGTTAACGAACGCTCACGTATAAAATCAGTCATTATTAGTATAATATAGGACTTTCGAACCCATCTTCGCTCGAGGTGTTTACTAAGCGCCAAAAATTTTTTTGCAACCGGGCGAAGCTGCTAAGTAAAAGGGGACGAGTGACCAAAATCAAAGCAGTTTGAATGCGGGCACCGACTAAGCAAAATACCTGTGACAATTTGTCAAGCATTATAGCCAAACCACCGGATCGCACAGGAGCTATTATAAAGTTGCACAATCCTCAAGTAAGCAAACCAAAAGTTAATCACGTAGATGAACACATAAACTCAAAATTAGTCCAAGGAAACCCTTTGGAGGCATAACTTCCAAGACGGTTCAGAATGTAAATTATTTAAAATGCAGTTCCTCGGGCATAGAGATTTCCCGGGAAATCCAAAACCCGTAAGGCTCTCTATTTTGTTCTCTAGATGCCTAAGAAATAATGCATCAAAACACATGTCACAACTATCGACATAAACGAAAAGTTGAGTTTTGCAATAGGGTTCAAGTAAGTTTGTTACGGTTCCTGATCAGTGAAAATACACGTTCTCGTCTTATTTTTTTCTGACGTAAAATGTAAATGCGCATTTATTCTTCACAGTGCCTCAACGGAGTCAATTCCGGAGCGGACATATGTTTTCGAATATTTTGAACGTTTTATTGTCAAAGGCAAGCACACAAGAATGGTCGCGTTCGGCTTATTTGTTTCCATGCACCACTGCTAGTCCAATACCGGGCTGCCGTCCGAGATTCCGATCCCGGTCATTTGATAATTATGCAATACTCTCGCCACTGCACCAACGGCCTCGTGGCATGTTGTCTGAATAGCGACGTGCAGCGACCCATCCCGATTTCAGAATGAAAGTTGAATTTTCCACTTTACCTTCGAGCTGAGTACCTACGACTCACGCATGTGACGACATAAAGACTGACAGTTGGGGATTGAGAACTAGTTACAGACAGAGCCAGGAACACGGGATAGCTGAGTTGGTTAATTTTGCTTCATGGGGAGCTAACATTCTATATGGGAGGACATTTAAAATATTAATTCATTGAGCATCAGACCGGTTGATTTGGACGAAAGAGACATTTTGCGTACAGTCGTTTTTTAGTTCGCATTAAATCAAAACTTCGTGAGAAATCCGTTTAGCAATGACGGTAGACGTTCATAACGATAAGTATGTGTCAGTATTTCAACTGAATGTGCAGCTGACGACAAAAATGATGAAGATGTACGACATGTCCTACCTTTCTTCCTTATCTTCGATAAATGTAGGCGAAAACGAAACGTGAATGATTAGGAATTAAGTGAGATACAGAATGTTTTAACTGGAATCCAATGACATTTTACAATTTTCGTGGTTAACCACGATTAGGGAAATTTAATCCCATAATAAAGCGTCTTGGTAGCCAAAACAAAGGGTGTTTGTCTGGCAAAACAGACAACAAGACGTTTTTGGCCGAGCGACTGATTAAAACGTTCAAAATTAGCCACCCACATCCTTGAGTGCCAAAATAAAAGTGGGGCTTTCCCTTCTTTATACGCTCAGATAATGAAACTGAAGACACATGCAGACCACACAGCTTTGGGAGTAAGTTCGTTTATGACCGTTCACAAACCACAAATACTCATATCTAAAGACCGAAAATAACGAAATTTGCGTTGACATGATCAACGGAGACGAAATTTATGTGGCCGGCAAAATGTCGCCGGGACAATCCAATCTTCCTGTTGCTAATTGGACATTTAAAGAAGTGTAATTCACTAATAGACGAAAAGCATCAAATCCGTGCTATAAATCAAACATGTAATATGTTCCATGTCAATCTCTAAAGGCTCCCATTGCACACTCACTAGTACTTCCGTAGACATATAAATTATACTGCCTCCTAACGTTCACAGATTAAGGCATAAGAGCCTTTGTGGAGTGTCACTACTCACATCTCAAATACATCGACCTTTTATTTTATTCAACTTTTCTGAAATTGCCGGAGTTGCTGGATCTATGATTATCTATCGACAGTTAATAGCGGAAATTCGACTTACTTTATGTCCGTAGTATCACCAGAGGCCTATCCACGTATAACTGTTTTATTCGTTTATATATGATTGCCCGCCAAGCTCTCCTGGGTAAGGATAGGTTGCGAAATCCCACTTGGTCAAATATGCACAACTAGCTATTATATTTTTTTAGTAGGCCTTATCTGGTTCATCAATTCATAAGCGTAGGAAGTTACTTGTTGAATTTTGCCTAGCACAGTGATATAGCCACAAACATGGACCTATTTCCGTATGACCTTTTTATTGATAACTTATTTGGCATAAGATGGTCTTCTGTTTTCGTCCCCCTCTCCGTATTCCGTTCCTTCCAAACGAGTAGCTTCACCTTTTTGTGTCGTGGCTGTACTCACAATGCAACACGTGCTGTATGGATCTTCGGCTCCGTTTTGGTTTACTTTGCCTCAGTTAGAGCACAAACGCTTAGCTTCCTTGATATTTGCAAACAATCTCTGTTCTCTGTCGTGTACGCCGCGACTTACTTACTTCTTCGAAAAGGCTAGCTTAACCTTCTTGTGCCATGTCGGTATTCACCATACAATGCGTGCTATAAGGTTCGGCATCTGCGTTTTGGTTAACGTTGCTTCGGTTACAGCACAAACGGTCGGCTTTCACGATATCTTCGAATGGTCTCTGTTCTCGAACGCGTACGCCGTAGCTTGCTCACTTTTTCAAATATACTTGTGCCTAGTCCCTCGCATAACCAATAATAAGACATTTAAATGTATTTAAGTTTACATGCACAAATTTACTTACAAATGGTCATTTACTTGCGCCCAGGAGGGAGCCCTTCATCGGATATGCTTCCGCAATATGTGACAGGGATATTTTTCAGGCTTGTTTTCGTCCAGCGCTGTCTATGCCAAATCACAGACGATAATGAATTCCGCCTACGTGGGCCCAAATTGCCAGATGCGACACCGGAACTCCTAAAGCTTTCCTCCTTCGATATCGGTCGCACCGGAACACATCACGTCGCTGTGAAGCCTCATTACTTGG